CGCGCACCTTCGTAGATATTGATGTCAATATCGGGAAAACGCGATAAAGCCAAAGCGAAGGTGAGTCCTCCGATTCCAGCCCCGCTATGGCATGTTCAATAAATGAGACCTGCGATTCAAGGAAAAACTAGCATTACCAGATAGCTACTTGTAATTTGTTGGTGTTTGCAGAAGCCATTATTCTAGAAGAAACTTAGAAAACAGAAAGTCGATGGTATAACTAACCACAGTGCGAGCTTTTTATGTGTAATCACTACTAGATCCTTTTACACGGTTTGACCGGACTGCATAGCGAGTTCATGTAGCCCAAGTGTACTGTGCGGCCTGAGCCACAAGTCCACTTGCCGCGAGTAAGCCAGAACAGATAGACGCGTCAATATGTCCCACGATTCGGTCGCGCTCTGGATGGGGCTTGAGACAAAATTGCCATTTCCGTGACTATCTTTAAGCATCATCTTGTCAACTGACCTGAAGAATCGTTCAGTGTAACTGAACTTCGACAGGATCTCCTGGGGAGAACGAATTGCAAAAATAAATTTCAACCGTATTGAGGAGACTTCGGATTTTCTAAATGGTTACACTTGGATGGCTGAGAATTGGAAGATCGAAATGAACTAGATGAACGAGTTATCAGCACCATAATAGCTGTTCCCTGAAGAGAAAGGCTACATCATGAAGGCTAGAGCACAGAATCAATGTGTGGCCGGCTTCGAGACATGAAAACTCGTTGTTCTTGGTCCCTGCGCATATGCCTTTCTTCCTAATCGAAACAGAATGCTTACTCGCGATCCACCAGCCCTGCTAGCGTGAAGTCGATGGGATCGGACTTTGTTCGTAGTCGGAGGGGAGATGATACACCGATAGGAAGAAATGGGAGCACTGGAGCGGGTTTGATTTACTTGAACAGTTGTGAGATAGAAGCTGAGGACCGAACGCCGGGGATGATATATCCCCTTCCTCTTGATGCTCATTCAGACTCTATTAGCTCTAATCTCCTCCGGAAAAATATATGTCGAAGTGCCGAATGCGAAATTTCTTTTCTGAGCTCTCGGAACTGAATTTCGTTCGTCGTTAGTCAAGGAAAAAGATCACGCCACGTGAGCTCATCGCAACTTTTTCTCAGAGGAAGGACTTTCTAATTTCGGATCTTTTTGAGAACGACTGCATTCGCCAGTCGTCTTCTTCTTCCTTGAACACCGTACAGCTGAAGATGCTGACAGAAGCCTGTTAAGTCAACTTGTATCAGCGGTGTTAATGAGGATAACTCGGAACTACTGGATCCTCTAGGTAAGCGCGTTAACCTGGTGCTGGCGCCACGATTCTCTCAATGAACGGTTCATTGTTTTTCCTGTACATATGTCCTCATATGTCATATGTCAGGCAAGGAGATACAGGACATTTGTTTTTTTCGAGATTTTCGCGGAAATGAAGCAATTGCATGCAATTAATATTGAAGATGTTCGGATAATTTATGTAGGCCTTCTTATAATCTTACTCGTGGAGATTGAGCTTCGAGTGTGTCTAGCTAAAGGTAACCTATAAGCTGCTACTCTCGAATCAGATCGTTGCTCACTTTTAGAAATTGAGGAAGCGCACATTACTACCGACATACATTTGGAGGGTAGTAAGGTGCACGTATACCCCTATCCTCCGATTACACATCCAAATCCACGTTGGTTGATAATCTTTGCAATTCTTCGCCCAGTAAATGTGGATTCAATGAGGTCTGCATAAAGAGCTCTTCCGCTTCATACGTGGGTTCTTTTAATGGAGCTCCACCATGAATCCTGAAGTTGTCTAGTTCATTATGTACATCTACCCTGCCACACAAGTTCAACTCAGACCAATTCTACCCTCATGGAAACAACCAACCCGAGTCTATCGTCTACTTCTAGTGCTTATTAACATATCTTTCACGGACCAGCGATCAGCCTTCCCCCGACTATCTTTATTTGACTATCATGAAATTATCATTCATGGCTATACTTTCCTTCTAGCCACTGTTGTGTTACGAAGTGACTCAGCTCCACGCGTATGTTGAATTCCATCCCCAGAAGTTGATTCAACATACGTATTCCTTTGTTTCGACTGACTGAAGTGAAGGAAGTGCAAACGTAGGTCTGTCTGAGTGATACACGCATACACATATTAACAATAATGTACAAGAGAGCGATGAATCCAAGTACATAGAATAAACTAAAGAATAATGCTGAAAGTGTTATGTGGTATAACAGATGATAACGGGTAGTCATGACAAACACACGAGGGGCTATTCGAGAAACTACAGACAGGTCCATCACCAGATAACGAATCACCTCAGGCCTTCCTCGTCTTGATCTCCCACATCCCCGAGCTCTTCCTAACAATACCAGTCCACACCCAGTCTCCTTCAATCCCCAACCAATCTACCCTCCTCACACCTTTACTTATCTCTGCCCCCTCCCCTTCACCAATATGCCCAGAATCAAGCTTCGTGCGTTTCGAGTCCCCAAACAACTCTTGGCCGACAGCTTTGCACCGGCTACGAAAAGCTATCGTAACTAGATCCCGGGCAGTTTGGGGTGGTTGAGGTTGTTGTCCGTAAATATCATAACCATGGCCGGGCCCTGGAGAAAGAGGATGTGGGAGAGCAGAATATGGTGATAGAGGTGTCAGAGGCATATGCGAGGTAAACGGTGAGCGGGAGGTTAAACTCGAACTTCGGGTCCTTCCTCCAATCATGACAGTTCCCATTTCTTCATTATAAAAATCTCTGCTTGTTATGGGTCTCTGTAGCTCTCTCCACACGCCCTCGATAACCTCCCATACCGTTAGACCGATGGCACCAAACCCGACTCCGAACCCTGGCGTGCCAGGAACTGCTCCAGCTCGACTGGACATAGCAGAGGCCGACACAACGTCAATGTACCACGGTAGCCTGGGATGATAAAACCGCATATGAGGAGTGGAAGGTTCGCATGCCATTTGCGTGAAATCAATAGTGCTAGGAGGTCGGTTTAAAGAAGGAAAGATGCCTCCACTATCGAAGCCGAAATGGGTACGTTGGGCGTGAGATTGGATTTGAGATTGAATTGGGAACCGGAAGTCGATGAACATTGGCGGGTGAGAGGAGGATACACGATGTATAAGAGCATTGGGTACACGTCTGACAGGGTCATTCATCTCAACGACATCCGATAGGTGTCTTTGACGCGTGGAGGAGAAACGAGTTAGAAGGTTTGGTTTTATGGAATAGTCTGCTCTCCAGTCCCTCGGTCGTCTGACTCGATCTTCAGGACTATACACATGGTTTTCGAGGAGCCGATTGTTGGAATTATAGGGACTATTTTGTGTGAACCAAGGACTTCGTTCCATTCGTTCTCGAGACCTGTGCTGTTCTCGATCAAAATTCGGGAGTGCCCATTGTGGTTCGTCGACTGAAGCAGATCGTTTCATAGCTGACTTGCGCCGAGGCCTGTCCGGGTGTCGACTACGAGACCGCGAACGACCTCGATGTTTTGAGGGTTCGCGTTGATCACCATTAAGTCCCATCCCTGTAAACGAATCTATAAGATCCCAGTCTGTATCACCAGAAGCAATATTGCCATGGCCACGAGTCGACCTCTGCATCAGAGTTGTTCTTGCACGACGCATTTGGTCTGCTTCATCGTCAAAACTTAATTCCTCCTCTTCGGGATTGTTCCATGCACCCGGTGGTCCTGAGCCCCAGCCGCCACCTTCCCTAGCGTCCCGTCTTGGACGCGAGTGTGAATGACCTCGCTGTGAACGCGCTTGACCATGATGGCCGGCGTTGGCAAAGTACCCTCCGGAAGTCATAAGCTGATCTGGGTAAGAATTCTCACCCCTGTGACCGAGCCCAAAACGAGGTGGAGCGCTGCCAGGCGGAGGTCCTCGAGCGTACTCATTGCCAAAGTCATCGCCATGTTCGTATGGCGAACGCCGATCCATATCGTAGTCTGGCGGTCTCCACGCAAGACTCGAGAAGCCATCTTCTCGACGACCGAACGTTGATAGTCCTTGGTCGCGTGTTGTTGCCCAAGGTGAATTCGTATTAGCGTAGGGAGTTTGAATTTGCGAAGGATGTGGGAGATTAGGATGGTAAAAGGCTCCTGGAGCACTATGAGGCGGTGGTGCTTGATAATCCCAGCCTGGTGGTGCTTGATGCCGAGGATGAGGTGTCCTGAGTATCGATTTGTGGATGTGGGTCCCATAGAGTAGGTTGATAGAACAGCAAAACTTACCCTGGCATAACTCTCCCACCACCGTCCGCAATTCCTGGAAACGCGCCCATACTCAGCCCTTCATTGGCATCGAATCTAGCTCCACGCGGTGGCGGAATGTTTCCAGGGCGTAGTGGCTCTACCGCCTCTGGCATATCGTCAAGATCCCAGACACCATTGTAGCCCCATGCATCCATTCTGGATAGTCACTCTGAAGCGCGAAATTATAAAGATAGAGAAATTTGTGACGGAGAAGAGCGAGGCTGTTTAAATATGAAGTGGAAGGGAACCAAAGCGATGAACTATGGCTGTACCTAAACAATACAGTGCAGGGTTTCAATGGGCTTCCCGCTGAAAGAATTGAGCTTTATTTGCTGATTGATAGAGGTTCGCCTTTTGTTCTGTGCCAGCTAAGTGTTCTTGAAAGGGATATATCGATAGAAGATAGTATACGCACCCTACGTTCACAGCTCGCCGTTTCTCGGTAAAGGTCAATGGAACACAACCACAGCAAAGCTTCTATTTATCTCCTATCTTACGTTGGATGACTGTAGATCCACGAATTCTCGTAACAAAAAAAACAGAAAACTAGAGAAGTCGCCTTTGGAATTCTGGTCGGCTTCCCTTGGACATTTAACAGCCTTTAAGGACTAGGTCTTAATCGTGGGTATTTGATTGATACATCCCCTTCAATTGATCGTGGGTCTTTTGTGGACAGTCTGTGTGTAAGACCATTCAATGATACGACGAACGCCAGCGCAAAACGCAGATCTAAAAAGATGCATCAGAGGGGAGTCGAACCCCTTTCCCGGCCATGGGAAGACCGGATCATAACCGTTAGACCACTGATGCTGTATTGAAAGCTACGGTGTTTACACTTCATACGAGTTCAAGTATCCAACCTGACTAAATACCAGCGCACTTCCTTCTCTCTCGACAAGCTTCAGTCCATTCTCGTATATGTAGTGCACGTACTTGTCATAATTCTTCACAAAAATCTCCTCGAAGAGCTTGTTTTCGACTGGATATGCGCCGAGCTCGATGTGGATCCGTCTGGAACCAGCATGTCGAGGAGAGGAATGCCGGGATTTGAGAAAAGGAGAGGTGGGATTCAAAAAAGTGGTTGGGCCAGAGTGAGCACTCATTGCAGTAGACAACTCTGGTAAATGTATGTCTAGCAAGAACTTGGCAAACTCTGCCCAATGGAATCGCGCAAACTGGTCCATAAATGGAACACAGTCGGAATTGTTTATGTCTAGGGGAAGTGTCGCGATATCACTAGGCATATTAGATATCATCTCCAATTCAGATAAATCAATTTCAAATCGTATTCTGATTTCTTCAAGTAAGTCGGAATTTGGTATGGAAGATATCACTCTCTTCACGGAACTAGTCGCGAGAGGAAGGAGCTCTTGGATATTACTCATTGAGCATCCGAGATATATGCTTTGGATGTGCAGGACGCGTAGATTGATGCAGTCCCGTAGATCGAACACGGGTAGGTCTCGATTTCGGAGTTCTAGCAGCGAAGGAATTGTAAGCTCTTCACGAAGGACGCAGAAGATGCATCAAAAAAGACGAACCTATGGCAATGGGAACGGGTATCAGGTGTAGGACTTCACTAAACCCAGAGCCATATCTGGACAGCATTCCATTGACCCATTGCACCTCTTCCTCGTCAGGAAAGCGCAATCCTACGATGAACCGGTCTATGGTTAACATGCTTGAACTGATCAGCGAGCTGAAGAGATTGCGTGCTGCCCATGTCGATGCTGAATGTAAAGTCTGAAAATGTATTTTGTTGCGTCCAGATAAAGCTTTACTTGTATCGTCAGTGCTGGTGGTATCGTCCCCAGAGCAAACTATCGAGCCCATTATCACCGACTGCAGCGTACAAGGCCACGTCGTGATCATTTCAACGAGCTCGGCAGCTTTTTGGAACCATACACCGGATATAATAAACGTGTGGATACTTAACCCAAACATGAGTGATTTGAATGCCATGGGAACGTCGCACCACGTATCGTCTCGCCAATGAAGCGTTTGGACGTTACGGAGGTTCTTCCTGACCCGTGAAAGGTCGCTGGGCAGAGTTTGGGGGAAATGGAAGCCAAAGCTGATGATTAGGCGCTGTACTGCAAGTCCCATGCTGCTGTAAGACGTGTCAAGGATATCGAGGAGCGCAGATAGACTTCTGGGGTCCGTCGATTGTCGACCTTGACTCCAGCCAGAGGGATCAGTGAGGATGGTAATTTCGAGGGAATTAAATAGGTGGAACCTGCTTCGTAGAAGCATCCCTTTACAACTTAGGCTGGTTGCTAGAAGAGTCGCTTTGTCGGCTTGGAGCTGGTCAATTATGTGTTCGATTATTTCTGGTGCTAGCTTGCGGTCCATGATTGTTAGGGAAAAGATGCAAGAGGGTGGCGGAAAGGCTAGATAATGATATATAGCAAAGACGCAAAGTCCCGTGTAAGCCGCCTCAGATTGCGCGATATGCACTAACATGAAGGATCTGTATTGCCCATGATTACCGTCGGTAACTCCGATAGAATGATGAATCCTGCAAACACTAGATAATAATGTATGTTAACTATGTCAGCCTGCAGATCCGCGACTGCAGATGGTCAAAGGATTGCGCCTTTTATATTTCCTCGAATCACAAGCTTAAATGAATTGATACCAACCAACCAGCGAAAGCTCAAAAGATCAGAAAAGACGAGAAAAGATAATCATGGAATGAGTTGAGAGAAAAGAAGCACAAATATCTCCGGATTCCGTATACATTGATTCTAGGTCTGACAATTCCTACTAACTTTTGCTTCGAGCACAGCTGCCTAATTTCTCTTGCTAGACTCAGAGACTAAGTAATAATCATCCGAGCTCATGAATATTCTCTCTATTCACTGCTATGGTTTCTGGCTTCCTTGGACTGGACTTGCGAAAACTTGCTTTGCACCGTGGCAAGATCAATTATTTGCGCAGCAGCCGTGCGTCTTATCTTTGCAGTCAAGCACATGAATGTAAGTATGGATATCTTTCAATCCACTCGCAAATGCTCCTTCTTTTTTATGTTTTTCGTTTCTCTAGTTTTGGCTGACTTGGAACTGGATAATTCGACCGCGCCATACATTTTCAATGACCTTTATTCTCTTTTAGTTCACTGGCCGAACACCTTTCATCCCAATGGACACACCATCATTCCTGGAGTAATTGAGCCGTATACTTTACTTTACCATGCACGAAAAGACACTCAGACTCCTCCGCCATCTCCAGAATGGCTGGCTTTCGATCCGGAAATGAGCTACGCAGTCATGGCTACCAGGATACCAGGCCCGACCTACATGTATACTTACAGAACAACAAAGCCGGCAAAGGTGCTGTACTTCAATGGTATGTCCGCAGCCTGGGGCGAAGGTTGGCTTGATACGCAGTACACCGTACTCACTGGTAAGGGCAAGACAAATGGGTCCAGGAACAATGAAGTCAGCTTGTGGGATGACTACGGACGTGCAAAAGGTCTCTGTCAATGGGGTAGACAGAGAGGCTTCGAAGGGATTCTTCGTATGAATGCTGGCTTGTACGTATCATTTCTTTTTTCGTTGTATCAAAAATTATTTATCATCGATCTAGTGAAATCATTTGGTGTGATTTTGATTCTCCGTCGTTGAGACTCGTTAGCAACTTGAATATTACGCCTCCCGGGACACCGGAAGCGCGACGATCTTTTCCTTTTCCCCTCGACGTTGTTCAGAATATCAAGCCGAACGAATTTCCGCCAAATGAACTGCCTATACAACCTCCACGAGGACCTGGCCGTAGACCCGGTGGTGGAAGACCTGGTGGTGGTGGTGGTGGTCGCGGTCCGTGGGGATCTGCAACAGCACCGCTAGCTCGAACCGGAAATTTAGAATGGTTGCGTGCGGCTTCGCGATATCCCTCAACCGTCCAACCTCACCTGTCCCTTTATTATCACCAGATGGTTTCCTTTTACCATCCTCGTTACCAGAGTTTGCTCCCTAGTCGGTCTGGAAAATTCATGCAGGAGCATCTCGTGTGGGAACACGTTTCAGACGGGGATGTTCATATGTTTCTGGATGAGTTAGATTCTGTGGTTCGCACTAATTCACCTGGGACAGGCTTCAACTGGCAGGCCGCAGCGACAGACGTCGTTGCCTTTTGGGCGGATCGAATCGCCCAGATCCAGGATTTGTTAGAAGGTGTCAACAGTACCTCGAATTTGACCAACATCGTCCAGACCGTGCGGCAATTATCCTATTCACCTCTAGATCCTTTCATCTCCTATGGCGAAGCACTCAACGCCTCAGGGCACGAAATTGTGTTCGAATTCCGCTCATCACCTTTAGTAATTCCCGGTCTAAAGGTTCCCAATACCACTGCATTTGAGCGATGCACATATTCTGCTACAGAATTTCTTGCAGATCCAGAACTTCAAACACTCATGACACCTCAAGAACATGTCTTGAAGATGAGCATAGACACGGTGCTTCATCGGCTTTGCAAGGACTTTGGGTCTTTTTTTGCGGAAAGCACAGACCTAACGGACTCCGCTAATTATCCCACACTTTTATCTATGTGGAAGAACAGAATTGAATATCTGATGCGGTGGTTGGAGTGGTCTTCATGGCTAAGATGCGAGGAAATCTGTGGTCTGGATGTATGTTCTCACTACTTGTCCTCGTTGCATACCTGACGACGATTATTACAGAGCGTCTGTTCAATGCCCGTGTGGCCTATTGCATGGGGCCACGGTCCTTTTGGAGGACCGGAAAGAGATTCAGATAATAATCTTTCCAAACCGACTTGTAGACGACTGATTTAGACTATGGCGATGAACCAGGTATTGTGTAATAATGTACAACTGGTAATTCTCTACCAGACTTGTGGATTTAAATCGGGGTACAAGGATTCTGTGTTTTAATGTGTTTCTTTCTAGAGAGTCCTTCAATAACAGTAGCTATATCACACTACTCTTCTTCTTTTCCTACTTCTATCATCTGTTCTTCCTGCTTTAATCTCATGTTCGTTTCTCCATATCCATTTATCCTCTTCAGCTTCATCCAAATCTGGTTCCCTCTTCCTCCGCTTCCCTGAACACAACGACACAGGAAGTTCCAGGTAATCCCACAAACTCGATGCCCACCGTTGTGGTATTGTACGCCTCTTCCTTGAATACGCTGGTTCAGCCAGCTTGGACCCCTTCGATTTGGTGGGGAAGATGATTGCGTAGTCAGAATCATCTTCCGGCTTCTTCAGCGAGTACAACGGGCCGGCACGACGTTCCAGCCATTCAAGTTTCGCGACTGTGGCACTGTATAGAGTAGGCGCAGGTATAACGTATCCTGGCGGTGGAAGCAACGGATAGAACTCGTTTTGTAACTCATGGACAAGCTCGTGCATGGTTTTTCCGGTCTCCCTTGCTTCCTTTAGGCGTTCCATCAGCTCATCCGAGCTAGGGGGTGTTATCACTGAAGCAGCACGTTCCGTTTCTGCCTCATCGTCGATAGAAGGTGGCGAAGCTAGATGAGATATAGTTTCCTCAGTGGAGGTCAGTGTTTCACTCCTTGCTCTTGAAAACCTGAAATTGTGGTCAGTTCTCCATTCCAGTATATGATCCAAAAATGCTTACTGAATGGCGTCTGGAGAATCTTCGTTGTCGGATTCATCCTTCAGCTCGACCGCACCCTCGTTTGCCAATGGTACCGTGCCACAGTACGGTACAACGCTGAATGTGGCGGAAAATTTCGGTCGTACAGACATAACAATTAATGTCGAGTTCTAATTGTTTTCTTATAAGTCCAGATATTGGTAGGCAGTGTGGGTGCCACCTAGTT